TATGCATCCTAATTGTAATTAGAAGGCATCACAATTGAATTTTGTACTTGATTAGCTATAGAAATAAGTGAAAATCAGTAAACAGTAAAGTATAAATGAGGACTTTCACTGATCATCCTTTTCTCAGTTCAAAATGACTAAGAATTATTTTGTTTTTATAAATTTTATTAACAGAGTTTGAGGGACAGACATTTTCTAAATATGGACAATTTACATAGAAATGGAAAACTTGTGAGAAGTTTTTTGTATATCCTCATTCATCTGGAAGCCTTGATCAGACTTATATCAGAATAAAATCTATTTTTAAATTTTACTTTATTAAATTTATTGGAGTAACAATGGTTAGTAATATTATGTAGGTTTCAAGTGTACATTTCTAAGAGAAACACCAGTCCTTGGGAAATGCTCCTTAATTATAATGTATTGTAACCACTAAAATAATTTTAAAATAGAATTAGTATATGAAGTTAGCAAGACATACAATAATTTATTTATTGTTATAAATAATAACCTACTAGATTACTGTTTCAGAAAAAATAACCAGTAACTTCATTCATTAGGTTCACAGTAAGTTTCTGTTGACAACACCAGTCATTTGTTGGAGCTAAAATTTTCCACTACATCTATTAGCTATTAATAATTGTCAAGCCAGCCGAGTGGTGCATTGGTTAAGAGCTGGCTTGGGATGCCAGCTCTGAGCAATAGGACCCCTGGTTGGGATCCACATGAGGGCCAGTGACACTGCCTTCTACAGCTAAGATGGTGAACAACAGCTTGACCTGGAGCTGGGCTGCCATTAGTCACTGAGTAGGCTGCAGCCCCCGCTGCAGTGGGCTGCTGTAAGCTACCGTGAGTGGCCGGCAGCCAGCGTGAGCAGCTGGCAGCTCGTGTGAGCTGCCAAGAGCCCCATGAGCGGCCGTCCAGAGGCCAGCGACCAACATGCCTCACCCAGGAAGAGCGCAATGATCACAATACCAACATGGGCCAGTGAAGCAACGTCCTCCACAACTAGACTGAAGAACGAAAGAACAGCAGCTTGTCTGTTCCCCTTCCCTGATTCCCCAACGCTGTTCCCCTCCTCCAGTTCCCCAATAAAAAAAAATCTTTAAAAAAAAATTGTCAATGAATGATAATTTCATATTAGAATTTCACAATCTCAATTTATAGCAGAGATCCGAAGTTAGGTCAGTATTTTCAAAACCTAGTAACTATAGTCAAACATCAGCTCTCTGAAATTCACAGTGGTTCTTTTACATAACAGAATTATCAAGGGAAACTCAAAATTCAGTTTTTTAGTCTTTCCTGTAAACATATATAATATCCATAAAAATCATCAAATTTTGATTAATACTGTTATTGGCATTAAGACAAGGTTTATAGTTATAGAGTGACATTTAACTATTTCATAGCTTCATAAGCCCTGTACCTATGAACTGTCAATCTATTAAAATATTGACCTGGGAGAGTAGAGATGAACGTAATTTGGCTGAAGATAGCTTGTATTCTATAGACTTCCAGGTCCATACAGTTTTTCTGGGTGGGTAGGTTAATATAACCTTTCATTCTTCCAAAGTTGGAAGAGACTTAGATGAGTTTCTGCTAGAAATTTAAGATGTATAAGTTACAAAACTGAAGAGTATATTAACTCATTTATAAGCAGTAAAGATTTTAGTTTAAGCCAATTTTTTTTTAAAGATTTTATTGGGGAATTGGGGGAGGGAACGGCATTGGGGAATCATAGAAGGGGAACAGACAAGTTGCTGTCCTTTTTGTTCTTCAGTCTAGTTGTGGAGGACGTTGTTTCACTGGCGCAAGTTGGCACCATCATTGCGCTCTTCCCGGGCGAGGCAGATCAGTCACCGGCTTCTGGATGGCCGCTCACTGCGGCTGCTGGCCGCTCATGCTGGCTGCTGGCTACACACGGTAGCCCATGGCAGCCCACTGCCACAGGGGCTGCAGCCTACGCCGCCGCTGGCGACTCATGGCAGCCCAGCTCCAGGTTGAGCTATTGTTCAGCATCTTAGCTGTAGAGGGCAGTGTCATTGGCCCTCATATGTGGGATCCGAACCGGGGCCCTCTGGCGTCCCAAGCCAGCTCTTAACCAATGCACCACTCGGCCGGCCCAAAGCCAATTTTTAAAATTACCGATGGAATACTAAGAAACATAATTAAAAAGCATGCTTATAATATAGTTTTAATAGCTTTTTTCCTTGCTAAGTATCAGTAAATATTATCTTTAAGCTATGTTTTAAATGTGTACACGTACATGTAAACACAGACATCTATATCGCAGAAATGAAAAACCATCCAAACTATTCAATCTTATTTCATTCAATCAACAAATATTTATTAAGCACCTATTATATGCCATCCAGGACTACTCATAATCATTACTTTTTAAATATGATTTGCCACATAAAAGAATGGTAATTCCTGAACTTTTCTGATTTTTTTAATGTGGTGGTAGGTTTCTTTTCTTTTTTTTTTAATAAAGAAAGTGTTTTTAATCAAATGGAAAAGATTTTCTGCCACTAAAAATCACCTAAGGTAAGTGTAATATGCATTCATTGTATTGTTTATTTCATCATTAGCTATTTTATTACATCTGTGTACTGCATTACTACATAACTTTTAAATTTTGTATCTTGGCACTTTAGAGGAACTTATAGGGCCAGTATAACAAACCTTAATTTGGATCGGACCCAATTTCAGTTTTCCAAATAGGCCCCATTTCTTAATATGGGTCCTAGTACACATATGCAAATACATTTCTTCTGAGTTAAAGTTGATACTTTTCTTCAAAATGTCTCATGTACTCAAGATACCTAGCTTGTAAACTGCCCCTCATCACCATCCCTACTCATTCAGGACTGCCACTAACTTATGCTATCGTAATTTCTTTTTCTCTTAATAGGCCTATTCTGTACTACTATTGCTTTGTTTGCATCTCACAAGTCAATCAATTCTTGTCAGGCCATTTCTCTCCTCATGAAAGCTGTGTGCCCCTGAATCCCTTTCCTTTTTTGGAATACCTTCGAAAAATTACTCAGTTCCATTTTCACAAACTAAAAAAAGAATTTGGTACCTACTTATGTGCCAAACACTGGGCTAGACCTCAGAAATGGCTAATACACATAAAAGCAACGGCTAGAAATATTCCTGTAGCAATGAAAAGAAAAAGCACCGATTTTAACATGAGACTAGATCTCATATACAGTGCAACCAACCTTGAAAGTACCTAGAAATCCTATTTATAAGCATCTTCTAAATACCCATCCACCTCTTATTAAACTTGCTTTTCTTCAAGCCTTAATATTTAGGATAAATAATGTTTTATTGAACATAATTGTTTTTATATTTAGCTTCATCACTAGAATTGACCTTCTAATCTTTTTCAGGATGATGATGGTTTTGCTACTATGTGAGTAAAATATATTCTTAGGCTATAATAAAAACCAAACAATCATTTGTTAAATTGTTTCCCGGGAAAGATAGGTCTCAAATTCCCAACAACTCACTCACAAATAAACTTCCCAAGTACAAAACATTTGTAAACTGGGGATGACTTATTCTTCATTTCTATATTTATATCCCTATGGGCTTAAAAAATGGTGCCACCAACTAGGGTAATAACAATGAATTACTAGCTTAAAATAAAAGAATATTTTGAAGATGGTGAAGCTATGTACCAATCCTCCCATCAGCCCAAGAAGGACTGAGTGTGGGAAATTCTGTAAAAAAGTAAAAGTTGGTTTGTGATATTTGCTCTACTTTATTTACTTTTGACTTCAAGTACAAGGACTGGTCCAGAAAAGGTTTCCACAAACCAACTGAGTTTCTTCTTATACATAGATCAACAGGCTAAAAAAAAAAAAAAGCCCACAAAACAAAACCTGTTCTACAGGCTTCTGCACACATAAAGGAAGCATTAGAGAAAGTACAGCCATTTTATATTATGTCTAGGGTACAAATCTTTTTAATACACTTGCTGACACTCTGCTAAGTTGTTCTGTCTTAAAGGATTCATTTGAATTAATAAGGGCATATTTTTTGAGGCTTGCAGAGTAGAATAGAAACTTTGCTTAGAATGGTTCATCTTTATGCAATGACTCAGTTTAGCAGCTAACAATATATATATACTTCCTTCCTCCCACAAAGGAATGACTACATGCCTTCCACTGATGCCTTTAAAAAGACATATGTAAAATTAGCATATAATCTCCTATTTTAAGTTTGTATCGGAATGTGAATGCATATTTTAAGAGTTTGTTTTTTATTTTTTCTGCTCTATTGCATACATATACATCTGGTTATACTAGTTCATCAGCAGACCAAACATTATATGAGAGCTTGGTTACCAGCTATAAGAACAAAATTAACTGTTTTATTCCTTAATTTAAAATCCATGTGCATTTGCTTTGTATTAAATGGTAAATTTGATATGCAAATAGTCTAATTTCTATTTTCATTACAGAACTTTGAAAAAAATCATGTGTTGCTGGATCTAACAGAAGAATTCAACATTTAAATTATATATCCTTTTAATTAATGGCATCAATATTTCTGTTTGAATCACTAGGAAATGCTGTAATTTATAATAATTGATAACACCAAACATCACAACGATAATTTTAAACTTACTGACAATAGACAGAGATAACTTTTGAATTTTTATACAGTTGAAAGAGAAACATGAAAAATGATATACTGCCATTCTTTTTATTTTTGGAAACTCTTTGTAAATAAAAACCCATTTCCAAAATAAGATATTTCATGGAAACAGAATAGTTGGTAGTGGTTCAAGTGCCGTAGGCAACAGAGAAGTATTGTTTTGTAGTTGTTTTTTTAAACCTCTCCTAGTAACAGCAGTTTATCTAATGCACAAAGAAACAGGGTATCAACACGATTTAAAATGAATATATAAACAATAACTAGAAAACCTCAACAAAAACTAAAGTTTACCATATTAACTCCACTTCTATAACCTGGTTAATACTCACCAAATGTTATAGAAATGTCCAGGCTTGTCTAAGCAACAAAAAGTACACACATGGTGAGGTGCTGAAGACAGCTCTCTCTCCGACTCAAAGCACTTTAGATGAAGTAGCCTTTATCTTCCATTCAATAGAGGGTGCTTCCTATTACCAAAGCGTGGCAGAGAAAAGAGTTTCCACAATCCCGTCTTGACTTTCTGTCTCTCTTTGAAGAGTAACAGTTACCACCGGAAAAACGTTAGCAGAAAATGATCACTTGAACACTCACACAGGGCAGCTGTAAATTTCCACTCTCTTTGCTTGCTCTCAGATTCCAAAAGCCTTGCTTGTCTCTTAATCTGTCACAGGCAGTTCTGTTTCTGGTCAAACCAGCTTGCTTATTCGTTCTCTTCTCCCTCTCTAACGCACTCTTTTAGATACATACCACACAGTCACAGCTCCCTCTTTTTCTTCCTGTCTCCCAATGGTGCAACGTCACAAGAATGTGTGTAAAGCAATTAAGCTGAGGCAAATTTCATTCTTGGCCAAAAAAAAGAGTCTAGGGATAAACAAAAAATTTTTTCTCATCACTTTCTTTCCCTTTCAATCCTATACTTGTTCACACATGGTGTTTTGTCAATAGATTAAACTGGCCTGACCATCTTGTTTTAAAAATGTAAATAAAGGTTTCTAACAAAGGCATGTTGATAGAGATAATAACAGATTCATCTGCTAATATGTCAGTTCCTCAGGGAAGATGATATTCCCAATCATAATAAGAAAGTGTAGCAAGTAAACACTCAAATAATTTTATCCTGAGATTTAAATACTCAAGAAATTTAATATTGAGCTTTCAAAAGTAAGGGAGATTTTAGAATTATTCCCAATTTAATGTTAAGTGTAATTTTATGAAATTTTAATGTATTTTTAAATAGGGTATATTTTGAAGCTCAGAACCAACATCTGTAGTTATAAAAGGGAAAGTATAAAGAACATAGAAAAGTATTGACACCAAAAATAATAAATAGAGACGCTCATACCATTCATGTGCAAACCAAATGTAATTATTTATTGTAGAAAGTCCTCCCATCACCCCCCCGCCACACACACACACACACACACAAGCATTATTGGTCAGGATGCATAATACCTCTTCAATGAAAATTTAAAAGGCTAAAGGCTACAAAAAAAACCACACTTTAAAAAAATTATTATACATGTATAATTACAGAGTAAAATACCTTAAAATTATGGATCTTTCTGCAAGATTTGGGAATGAGGAATTAGGTAGAAAGCTGAGTGGGATGGTTGGTGACAGGTTTAGGTGGCATTTCAAGAGTCTTTGGAATTATGGGGCAATGTCCTCAGCTTGGAATACATGCTGGTTCTGTGAAAATGCTAGTCGGAGCCTGTTTTGGAGTTTTCTGTTCCAGTCTCTTAGCTTCAAAGATTTTCAGGCTCTCTGTCTCCTACTATGTGTTACAAATCAAAACTCCTGGGCTCTTCTTCTTATGACAGGTCTCCCAGTTACAGAGCTAACAGAAGTAGTTATTGGACCTACTATTATTCTAATCTTACTCTCTGCAGAACTAAAATATCTCTAAGACTACAAGCTTAAATAAAGTGAAAGGTAAATACCTTTAAACAGTGCTTTATAATCCTTAAGAAAAATAAGCAAATAAAGCTTGGCCTTATTTCTTCATCTATATATCATATATTTAACATATATTTCCATATACATACATTTATTTTTAAAATATATATCTTAACCTGGTTCATTTAAAGCAGCAAAGAACATTTTAAATATAAGGGAATTTGTATTTTAACACCTAAGAAATAGGCATCAAAGAAGACGAGAGATTAGTTTGCTGATTATTCCTTCAATTAGTTTTGTAAAATTCAGAGTTCTATTTCCTATTTTTAAAGAAATGTTAAATGAAAATTATCCCAAATCACTAAAAGGAATTAAATACCTAGTATATTACTGAGTCTCAGATTATACCAAAAGAGTGTGGTATAACTAAAGAAATTCAGAATTTGAAGGTGCGGGGGGAACTCAGAATAATTACAAAGTTAATTTTTTTTTAAAGTCACTTTAAAATTGGGAGATGTTATATCATTTTATGACCCTAAGGCAGAAAAATTAAGGTATTTAAAATATACAACAAGACTGGGTACTTATGATTGTGTGTATGCTTATGTTTGATTTCTACTAACCACCATTTTTTAAAGATGCACACACAAAAAAAAAATCACAAAAAAGTGACCTCATATTAACCAATAAATTTCCCAAAGAGAAATGGTACAAGCTTCATCCTCTGAACACAAGATGATGGAAGTAGAAGTTGCTTTAAAATTTTTCAACAGATAAGCAAATGTTCTTTTAAAAACCCTATTAAGGGCCGGCCAAGTGGCGCGATGGTTAAGAACTGGCTTGGGATGCCAGAGGGCCCCGGTTCGGATCCCACATATGAGGGCCAGTGACACTGCCCTCTACAGCTAAGATGCTGAACAACAGCTCGACCTGGAGCTGGGCTGCCGTGAGTCACGGGCTACAGCCTAGGCTGCAGTGGGGCTGGCCAGCAGCTGGTGCATGCTTTTGTGAGCTGTCGTGAGCCGCCATGAGCTGCCGTCCAATGGCTGGCGAGCGACTGCCTCACCCGGGAAGAGTGCAATGATAATACCAACATGGGCCAGTGAAGCGACGCCCTCCACAACTAGACTGAAGAACAAAAGGACTGCAACTTGTCTGTTCCCCTCCCCCAATTCCCCAATAAAATCTTTAAAAAAAAAAAAAAGCACAAGATGAAGAGTTAAAGATATAAGTGATGCATATAGATCAGGTTATGGTCAAATGACATCATGGTATGCTAAATAAGCAACGATTCTACAATTATTTGAATAAAAAAATGTGGTGGGAAAAATGATTTATCACTATACATGACAGTATGACTGCAAAATTCCAAATTACCTCCTCCATCTTAGCAGTCACATTCACATTATTGAGTGTTACAAGGCTATAATACTTAGATTCCATCTTGGTATACAGGTATATCTACTGCAACATTTCACTAGTTGTAAATGTTCTAACTAGTAACAGAAATTTTAAAGGCACATTATTAAATTGATCAGTCCATCAAAATAACACATTGGTAGTTAAAAAACAGTTGACTGTCAACAATAGTAACTGACATAAAAACTAGTTTGTCATGCTAAAAAAAAAATCAAGACTGACATGTAAAATACTAAACACATAAATATATATCTTTATGATTGCATCTGCAATTTAGTGCTGTTAAATTATTGTTAATTTTACTTTATTGGTTTTAGAGTTGTTTAGGTTTAATTAATGCATTTATTTTTATTTACATATAAAAGCTGTACGAAAAAGTGTATTAATTAAAACAATTGGACTGCAAGTGACAGACCCAATGCTAAGAAGTTTAGCAAAAAGGGAAATGAAGGATCTTGTAACCAAAAAGTCTAGCAATAGAGTAGAAGTTCTCAGCTGGGGAAGTATCTAGTGTAGAGGTTGGAGATGCTGCTACACATCCTATAATCCATGAATGTCCTCTGCCCCATGAAAGAATTATCCAGCCCCAAATGTCAACAGTGCCAAAATGGCAGCAGTACCTAGATAAAAGCTAACTTCAGCCCAAGCTTCAACAATGTCATTGGAGATCTTTCTCTTTGCATTTTCTTGCAAGTTGTCTTCATTCACAGTTGGGCTCTCTCTACATGTTGCAAAAAAGGCCCCTGACGGATCACATGGCCTTGGTCCCCATGATCTCAAAAAAGCAAGAAGCCCTGGGCCTCTTTTGTGGTAGCCGTATCAATCCCCGAGAAATGAGGTTCTGCTAGTTCAGGTAACCAACTGTTAAAAACCATATCCATAGAATGGGTGCTCTTATTGACCAGCTAGGCTACTGAGTGTATTAGCATGAATGTAAGAGAAAGGCACACTGAGAGGTCCACTATGAAAGAGCAACTTCAAGCCTTCTATCAAGCTTATTGAAGGGTCAGTAAGTGAGATGTTGGGTGAGATTATCTGCACTACGATTTAATTGCAAAGCATATATCTGTCATGTGTCTGTATTACATACATAATATAATACGGTCCAACCTGGTTGTTCAGCATCCATACCTGCCCTTTCCCCACATCTATACTTTCAACAGTGGTCCTGCCTAACACTGGACACATTTTCCAATGTGACTAACAGTCACCCTTGCTCAAACTTGTGACTGTATCCAGCTCCAAGATCTCTGTTGGTTATATCCTTCTGAATCTTTGAAGTAGCTCCTTATGGTCGAGTATCCCCTAGCTCAATTATAAATAAACCCCCACCTCCACTAAGACATCAAATAAACAAGCAAGGCAAAGGGGAAACAGGACACGGGCAATAAACACTCATGCATGAAAAAAAGGGAGGGAAGCAACATCCATCCCTAATATATATGATATTTTGCTGGACAGAAAGAGCAAGCTTCCCTGCCCAGGAAGGTTAATGAGTTCCTTAGTTACCAAACTGGTTGCCTTTGGTTCTAATCTCTCTAATCTCTGGGAGAATCTCCCTTCTCAGTTGTCCTCCAAAACCACACTTGAGAAGGTTGTTGTGGATGGTTCCTGGCTGGGAGTTTTCCTGCTAAAATAGTCCACTTGTTTGGGGGTCAAATTTAGGGATCTAAAAGTTGCCAGAAGATGGGAAACCACAGGCCTTTACTTCTCAGGCTTGAATTCCTTTGACAATATAACTGTGTAAGAATTTTAATTGGCTTTTAATCACTTTGCCTTTTGTCTTCTTATTGAAGCCAGAAATTGTTGAATCTGGGCCTGCTATTGTGATTTTTATCTCTAACAGGCTTCATTGCTCTGCCTTTTACTCAAATTCCCAGGTTAAACTGCTTCCATCTTGGCCTCTTCTTCCAAACAAATGGGGAAGCCATGTCCCTTACATCCACGCTTCATCGCAGTAGATTTCTCTGTATTCCAGGATTCACTGTTATCTTTGTCCAACAAGAGAGTAGTGGCAGGAGATGCCTGGGTCTTCAAGCTCCTCCTAGGTTCTAGTGTTTTCTTTCTAATCATATCTTCCATATCTTCTAATCACATCTTCTCCTAGGTTCTTTCATATCTTTCTCACACTTTCTGCCTCCCTGCTTTTGCTCATACTAATTTAGCTCAGGGTTGTGATCACACAACTAATAGGCAGGTAAAAATAATGTTTAGGAAGCTCTTAAGCTCTCAGATTCTCAGATGAAAGCCCTTTTAGTTATCCTTTCCCACATGAGCTCATTCTTTGTCTTTTACAGAAAATCCTTTGACTCAAATTCTACCCAGGTGGAGCTTTACAAAACCATATATTGTCCCACTTCTGATTATGACTCATTTTACTTACCTGTGTTTACTCATTTACAATATCACTATCATGAGGAAGGTGCCTTAAAATGTGGCAACTGGAAGTGATGCTTGGAGAGTCTTAAGTAAGACTTCCATTACTTTTGATTAGCTTTAACTCATATAACTGGATCATTCAGCATTTTTTATTGCAAGGCAGAAAT